CCCCACAGGGACAGCCTCACAGAAGTGCCCTGGCCCAGGAGTGAGGGGCCAGCCCGGCCAGCCCCCATCTCAGAACAAAAGACTACACGGCACCAGCCTGTAATCTAGCAATTTGGGAGGCTGAGGCAGGAGGATCGCCAGGTGGAGGCCAGCCTCAGCCACTGAGCGAGGCCCTGAGCCACTCAGCGAGACCCTGTCTCTCAATAAACCCATGGTCCTGGCCTCAGTGGGCAGAAGATGGAAAGCCAGATGACCAACCCCAGGGACAGCAGCCCCTGGACATGAGGGACAGGAGCAGAGAGGAGCAGGGGACACAGGAACAGGCGGAGGACCGTGAAGGGCACTGGGGAGGGGGGAGCAGATGCGAAGGAAGGAGACATCAGGACAACATGGGGACAAGGGAACGAGGCTGGGCCTCAGGCCGTACCTGGACAGGGTCCACCGTGTCCCTCACCACACACAGGACGTCGAAGCGGGAAATGATGGGCTCCGTGAGGTCCACGTTCTCCGAGAAGGTCAGCGAGGGGTCGTAGCGGCCACCTGAAACCCCGAGGAGCCCCGGTCGGCGTGCAGGACCCCACCCCGCTCCCCATCTGGGAAAGCTGCTCCCAGCCCCAAAATGGCTGCCTGGTGCCTGCCATCTGCTCTGGATCAGGAGACAGTAAAGGGATTCCTAGAGCCGAGCCCCAAAAGAGCCCACGGTGTGGCAGAAAGCCGTTCCCCAGGAAGGACACGTCAGAGCAAGACGCGAGGGAAGGACCGGGCACGGTGGCACACGCCCGTCATCACCACAGGGGCTCGGAGGCTGAGGCAGGAGGATCGCAAGTTGGAGGCCAGCCTCAGCCACTCAGCGAGACCGTGTCTCTCAGCCTACCAATGGGGTTGGCGGCGGCGATGACGGTACAGCGGGCCTGCAGGGAGGTGACAATCCCGGCCTTGGAGATGGAGATGCTCTGCTGCTCCATAGCCTCGTGGATGCTGGTCCTGTCCTGGTCATTCATCTGTGGGAGACACAGAGGCCCGGGAGGCTGAGGCAGGAGGATCGCAAGGTGGAGGC